TATTCATTTTACATACGTCCACTTTTGTTAATACACAAAACGAAATCTGTGTATCTTTAAATGCTTGTGTGTAAATTCATACATGTTTTTATAAAAGTCCTTGGTGGGGACGACAGTTCCCCAGAACTCATATTTTGTAATTTTATCTTGTCGAATAACTTATCGATTAAATATTTGAATGCCTGTCGATTGATGAACTTATCGACAAAATATTTGAATGCCTGCCGATCGATGAACTTATTGATTAATGTTTAAAAACATTTTACTATGACAATATCGGTTGTAAATATCTGTATAAACACGCTTGACTTGTGTACTTGACCTGACTTGATATGTGCTGTTTGTCTGTAGAACACACTTTCTACGCCTCACCCAGACTTCTTGATCGCGTTAGCTGAGTCGGGTACAACAGACCAGAATAGTCTATTGGGATTCTGAATCCCTTGATCCGATCGATAAGTCAGTGTCCTATAATCGGCGGCCTTTGAGTTACAACAGTCATGTAGAGCAACTTTTGCTGTAGGTAACAATATTAAGAATGAACTAAATAGTTTCAGACAAATCAAGCATTGGGTGGAAAGTTATTCATAAAATAATCATATTTCTGCGATATACCAACTAGTAGAATTCTATTATTGTGATATGTCAGCGAGCAAGAATTTGCATTCCTGACGTTTCGTTACTTTTGAAAGTCACTTCTGTTCGTTTTTATTTGTCTACCTTGAGAAAGTGATCAACATCAGGTCACGAAACGTCAGAAATTCAAATTCTTGCTCACTGATATATCACATGGGTAGAATTATTTTGCTGTTACTAACCTATGCTGTCTCATGTTACATGGGATATTTGCGCGTCCATACCGGCTGTTTTTTTTACACATTTCTCTCGATTACTTGGACAAAAATATATTCAATGAATCCCTTCATTTACTTTTCCTCTTTTTTGAGACTACTGGAAACGAAAAACCGAAATTGGATACCGAACTTTTGATTGCATTTTTCTATTGTGCACCCCTCGACTACTTAGAGTAGGAAAACACGATCAGACACTAATGGATGATATAAGCTAATAACAGTGTTTACGAACATCAAGCTTCTTGGGTTCAAACCTCTGGTGTGTCAATTCTTGGGTTTTTGCTTATACACTGTAGTGATTGATAAATTCTAAAAACAAAGGACTTTGCAAGCCTCTTACATTAACTGTGACCTAATTGATCATACTACGTTCTCTCCTAACTTAAGGCTCTTGAGCAGCCACTCTCATTAGATCAGGTTTGCTCAAGACATACTGAAAATCTTCCGGAACAACCACTATGCGTAGGTTGCAACAATGATGATAACCATAAATAACAGTAAGTTACATGGGACAAAACAATTCATAGGCATATCAGAAACACTGTCCTCCGTGGCGTTATTGTATTTGAGAAGCGTCTCCATTTAGGTTACCGCGGTTAGCGTACATTGATTAATCGCAACAGTAGCTTGCTCTTGATACAAGGTTTCCTGATGCAGGAAATTTGGCGAATTGGTTTACATCTTTGCACGATCACCTTGTCTTACCTCTTATGTATGTGGATACTTTGCTTATCAAGGTCGGACTGCAAATAACCAACCTAATTCCGGCTAGTGAGATAGCTGCTGGTTCCGAAGAACTTACTGTCCTGGGCCAAAACTTCTCATTCAAATGACAAATTACCTAAACCCAAAAATACCTTCCAAAGTGACTAGAACTGCCACAGTCGGGTAGCCAGGTCAACGGATACTGTTGATGATAAGTGATGCGAGACTGTACTGAAACAACACAAAGGAAACGTAAAGAAATCGATCAGTTTGTGCAAGCTCAATAAAAGGGTGTGAAATACGAAATATGCAAATTTGTGATTTAGGTTTTAAACGTGTATATTGTGGACAAAGTGCTTGAAGCCTGTGTTAGCCCTTTTTTAGTAAGCTTCTGAGTGTCTAGTCTTCTCTCGAATATGTCAGCTGAAGGTTAGGAGGCCACTGATCCAGATAGTAGGTTCCATGAATTGATGACTAGGTGTTAAAACTGCACGCCACGAGTACTTAATTAATTCTTGACTTTTGTACTAACTTGATACGTACTCTGCTTTGTCCTGATCTGTTAGGAGGAAAAGTAGGAAAATTCATCTGGTCCGAAACAATTTCTCTGGTCAGCGCCTTAAAATCTATGGTGGGACAGTAAGCGGGTTTAGCTTCCCAAACTGCTCTGTATATAGTAGACCCCGGAGTCCTGTAATTGCACCAGTAGATGTTCTCTATATGTTTTCCACGGTAACCGAATCATCTTTTAAGTGGAGGCTTGGTAGCCTGAACTCACTTTTTAAAACTTGGGTTTTTCCAATATTGTGTATAATGTGGCTAACTTATTAGTACCTAACTTGTCAGTGTCCATCATAGAGCCCAATAGTACTCGAACTACTTAGCTGTGACCGCGCCGCAGTTGACAGTAAGCTTAGGACTGTGGCTCATTATTACCCCCAAAGACCATCATGTGGCCGAACATCATGCGTCGAATCCTCTAGGCTGTACCTGTTTACTTTTGTATCCCCCAATGTGCATGTAGACATACATGGCCCCACCGATAGGCATCAGTTGGTTTTTAGACTACCTAGCCAGAGTATCCATGTTCGTTAGATACAAGTTCACTGGCCTACAGGTTAAATGTTAACGCGAGGCCAAACAACCTGGGTTCGAATCTCAAGTGCGGGATGACGAACGGGCTCTGTCTAAGAATCCCACAACAGCACGAAACAACCATCCAGTGCTTCCAGGTTTTTAAAGATGTTCTAACATTGACTGGTTCATGATTTCGGTGGAATATCTAAGTCCGTTTGAAGTTTATATGATATGCGAAAAAACCAGAATACGTATACAGAACATGACTCCAAATTACTCTTTACTTCTTACTTCCGGCCGAACGTCATTCTGAAATAAAGGACATCCTATTAGCTGTCTGGAGATCGGTAACATGGAAACAAAAATACATACATTTTTTCTGTTTCGCAAACTGTATGACACTCGAATTGCATTGTACCAATAGTTCGTCCTTATAACACAGAATCCATGTGACACTTCGTCTTCCATGCTGTACCAAACTGCAATTGTATCCTCTCAGTTCATAGATAACTCACCTTGACCAAGTGCCTTACCGACAACCGTGGTGCGATTCGTCTCGAGATTTTAGGGTGTAGTCCATCCGGCCCTGCTGATTTTCCCGTGTCTTAAATGCTACGAGCCTTCAGTTCATCGTCTTGATCAAAGTCCAAGTTAAACAGGCGATTAAGTGACTTTTTGTTTGGGCATAGCTTTTAATTCATAAGAGGTTCTTTGGTGTAATCTGTCCCGAATTATTTCGACATTATTTCTGTTTGGGGATGCACTCCCTGTTGTAACTAGTTTGGTAATTCAGTAGTGAGTAATTGTCCTGCGATTTATTTGCAACAACAGTCTCCGGGTGCTTGCTTGCAGATTAAGCCAACTGCCTTCACATTTTTTCTGATTGTGCTTGCGTACCTGCAGCGCTATATCTTATTTGCTGTGACAGGAATCATGGCGGCTTTTCAACATCTTTCTTAGCATACATCGAGTCTCTCGGTCTATCAAAAGATAGACTTGCTCCTTCTTCTTCTTTGGAACTATAAATGGTTGAGCTACTTGGTTGTATAACTGATGGAAATGAGCCCATGCCTCTCCTATTGACGAACTGGAGTAGACTTCCGAGTTTTTAGTCAAGGCTGCAAACCAACTGCCTTAGTTTCCATCTTCCATATGTTGGGACGACTTGATGCAACTGCTTGAGGGACCATATAAACCACGAAGCTGAATAAGGTTATCTCATGATACTTCTCCCTATCAGTGGGTTCATCGCCGAATCAGATTATCTGTGTCGATGATTCGGGGCCTACTCGACGTAGACTGTGATGGTCTGCCCAACGTGCTAACGTTGAGATCACGCCTCACGGTCGGTTACAAACTTGGATAACCCATCCGTCGCATTCAGGTACTACGTCTTCTTCGATGACCGCACAGAACAAACGACGTTAATACTGGAACAAATGAGTAAGAGTAGGTAGAGTAGGTAGTGAGAACACTGTTGAACGGTCCAGTACATGGCATGCAATTAACTAGCTTGAATTGTTTGCCTTTGACCTCGAAGGGGACTGGTGGAGTTTTCGACACTCAGAGACTCGGCTGCTGGATGTTTTGGCTGGGGCCCAGTGACCTTTCAGTGCCTCTGCAGGCGGAAGGAACTTGAACTGACTGACTCCGTCACCGTATATGAAGATTAAGTTAAATGCAGATGAAGAGTTTCGTGAATTATGCCTGATGATATCTCTAATGTGCCAGAATAGAGGTAGGGCGATTATGGTTTTTAACAATTTTTAAAGGTTTTGTCAATTGTATTTACATATGTTTAGGTATGGCGAAGTCTGGTGGCAATTCAGACGTTGCGCTACTGTCTTATTACAATGAATGACTCCCGTGTGCAGGTTGGGGTAAAGAAACTCCCTATGCACCTACAAGTAACGTCAAAATCACATATTTAATCATTAAAAAGAGTTCCCAAAATCGTTTGCTCATTAAAGGAGGAAAAGTAGTCAATGATGATCGTATGTTTACTGCTGATATATATATTGAAGATGGGGTTATTAGGTATGTTGTCATGTGCCTTAATTTTGTGTAGACAAGTAGGTAATCAGCTTTCCATTCCAGGGGGAGTCAGAATCATTGATGCATCAGGAAAGATGGTCATCCCAGGTCTTTCAAATCTTTAAGTATAGTTTATTGTCTCGTTTTTAGGTGGTGTTGATCCTCATACATGCTTTGACTCCTCTTGTTTTGGTTTGAATACATCAGATGATTTTTATTCTGGCACGAGAGCAGCACTTGCTGGTGGAACTACTACAATAAGTCTGTTTGTTTGAAATCATTTATGTTTCAGTCAATTGTATTGTACCTACAAAAATTTCACTTTTGGATATGTATGAAAAGTCCCGTCAAACAGCAGATTCCAAAGCGTGTTGTGACTATGCGATGCACTTTATCTTATCCCAGTTCGACCCCAAAATATCCAAGGAAATGGAACTACTAGTCAAAGAAAAGGGAGTGAATTCTTTTAGGGTTTTTTTGTCAAATACAAACGATATGTTAGTAGACGACGGTGATTTCTTCGAAATCGCTAAGCGGTGTAGAGATCTTGGTGCTGTTCTCCAAGTTCATGCAGAGAATGGAAAATTAGTTAGGATACTAGAGTCGAAAATATACAATGACGGTATTACTGGCCCAGAGGGTTACTTGTATTCACACCCAGAAATGGTTAGTTACGGTCCTGAAATAATTTTATTGTCTTTGTTTAAAATATTTTCGAATAAGAACTCTTACTGATTATTATTACTCTCTGCTAAGTTTGGCCTTCTATTACCTCTAACATCCTAGCAGCGATATTCTTTTGCCCTCAAATGTCTTGGTACAGCTGATGGCGGGAAAGTCCAATTTCCCTTTCAAATTGCCTAACATGGGCACGCGTATACAACCCCTGCCAGGGAAGTCCTATTCACTGCCTTCTCGTGGCGGAGGTATTGTTTACGAAATTGAAAGAACGAAAAGCAAATGTTCGGTGCACTAACCGGGTGAGTGGATATCGATGATCCATCTAGTCTTCAGTCTTCAGTAATAAGGATAGTAGGTTGATAAACCTGTATTAATCCTGACACACTGCTTTCCATTGAAGGTCCAGCTTCTCCTTGAAAGTATTCACTGATGGGGCTGATACCACTTGTTCGGGTAAGGCGTTCCAATGATTAACTACTTGATGAGAAAAACGGGACCCCACTTTAAGTTTATTAGATCTTGGCTTAAGAACCTTCTCGCTATGACCGCGGAGATTATTAGTGCTGGAGGGAGCAAAAAGATAAGACATTAACCTTGGTTCCAAAACAGTAGTGCTCATACGTTCCAGGATTCTAGGGAGAAAGTGGTGTGTGAACCTACTGTCGATCACCAGCTACCATGGGACTGCACCTTCTCACGTCGATCCACTACCTTGTGGATTATACCTTTGGGTCTAAGACTCTGGGTGTGGCCCCTTAAGAAAACCACCTGCTTCGGTTTGGGAGACCGGGAAGTATTCCAGCACACGCAAACCGAATGCCGAAGTGTGGCGTATATATATTTGGTGTATCATTGCATCAATATTTATGTGTTTTAGTAAATCAATAAGTGATAAATAACCTTTAATATGCGTTCTGTAACATTGTTTTTTACCGAATTCTCTATGGTTATTTTGCTTAAACACTTCAAAGACAGATTCTTCTTGCCAGTTATACCAAAACATTTTGGAATGTTTAATTATTTAGCTTTAAGGGGTCGGTAACGTAAGTATTGTGTCGCAATTTATGAACCATAAAGTCGATTTTAGTGTTTATTGAATTATATATAGCAGTCCTGCAAATACTATTGTTGGAAATTTAAAGAAAGAGAATAATTTCGGAGTTTTGTAGAAGTAGTAGGTAACTCTACCATAAAAGAATAATTTAAATTTGTTGATAGGATCTATTGCATTGTAAAGGTGTTTTTGTTTATGTTAGATGGACATGGATGTAGGCTTTACTAGCACTTGATGACGTGTGATAAGTGATAGGCAGCAGCCTTAAAAGTGAGGTCCGCTTGATCCTAAGTATGGTAAATGATGTATTTGAATTAAAGTACTTTCGGGAGCTAGGCTCTTGGTGGTTATTTCACTGTTCCATGCAAAAACACTGCCGTTCGTATTCTGCTAGTAAATTAGTGACTTACTGATTTGTTATATTGTCTAAAACCTTGGTGACTGATGGATAGTATTCTTTCATCCCTTTAGTCATTGCTTTGTTTTTTATTAAACAAGAATGTACTTAGATTGTGTTTTAACTATATGTTACAATTAGTTCATTCTGATTCTCAGCTCATCATTTTTATATTATAATGACCAAGCCTAAAAATCGACTGAGTTGTCAAACTTCTGTATACGTTTGACTGATTATATATCTTCTATATAAGCGTTAAATATTTAGACTGGTTTTATCTCTCTTGGAAGGGATTTTGTGTTTAAGAGTTGTAATGTATCTGAGACAAGATTGTCAATCCTTCTGCTTGAGTGATTAGTTTTTCTGCTCGTGATGTTTACAAAAATAAACATCTCTTCACTAATATTCCAGAATGCCAACGTTGACCACACCATGCTTTGCAGTATTGACAAAAGATTCGTATGATTATTGATCGTTCATCCGATGACAACTTTCTCTTGACCTATGAGAAATCAGAAGACATAAATCATCAATAAGTATTTGATTTATTTGCTGTGTTTTCGAAGCATATAGGACTATGGAATTGATGTTATTGCTAAAAGATATTTTAGAGCGTTTAATATTTATTTGAACACATAAATATTGGTACAAGAGTGCGCCAAATATATACGCGCCACACAAAACAATGAGAATTCGAAGAGAAAAAAGGTAAGGAGCGTAAAAAAAAGAGAACAATAACGAAGAGATTGGTGTAAGGTAGTGTAGTAATAATAATAGTAATAATGAGGGGACGGAAAGGTACAATCAGAAGAAATCTTTCAGTTAAGGGAGACACAACCACTTTTTATGAAGAAAGTAAAAGAAGGTTACAGCAGGATCGCCACTGGCTTCTATTCTGAGCCATATCTGATAACGTCTCTAGCCACTGTGTCGCACCATCTCTCGGACCCCAACCAGAGAGTCGTGAAGGACCGACAGAAGCCAGTCCTTTACAGCTTTCTTTCATACCACGACACCATGTCATGCACTGACCACCTCTCCGCTTTTTCCAACTAGTCCCAGAGTCGGCAAATAATGCACGACGTGGAATTCTCTGGGACGATATTCGTAGAACATGTCCAAGCCACCGAAGTCGGTGTTTCAAGATGGTGACATCGATTGCATTATCATCTCTGTGCCAGAACACACGATGCCGAACCTCTGCATTACCGACATGGTGTTGCCACTGGATGTCAGCAATCCTTCAGAGACAACGATGATCGAACACAGAGAGTCTTCTAACGTCCTCGACTCGGAGAGGCCAGGTTTCACAAGCATAGAGCAGAACTGCTCTCGCCGACGCGTTGTAGATCCGACCTTTTACAGCTAGACTAACATCACGAAGGCGCCAAAGATGGCCCAGATTGGCATAAGCCGCTCTGGCTTTCACTATTCGTGCATTGATCTCATCACTCACACCCCCACCAGCACTTATGCAGCTACCTAGATACACGAACTTCTCGACTACTTCTATCTGCTCACCATCCAGGGTGAGTACAGGATTAGAATGCTGTCAGTCTTGTAGAAGTACTTTGCACTTCGAAGGTGCAAAGCACATGCCATACCTACGGACACTGATTTCCAACTGATTAAGTGCGGATTGCATGTCTTGGGCATTATCGCACAGTAAGACAATATCATCCGCATACTCAAGGTCGAGAATTCTTTCTCCAGGCAACAGATCAACACCGCCATTACTTACATCCATCAGAGCTGTTTCTAGAATGTCATTGATGTCAAAGTTGAAGAGGAATGATGAGATTGGACAACCCTGCCTAACCCCACTGCTCGAATGGAACAATGGAGAGAGGTGGTTGTATGCCCTCACTCTGCCTGAGGTGTTTGTATATAGGGCTTTTAGGATGTTAATAAGCTTCTCAGGCACACCCTTCTTCAATAGACAATCCCACAGAACAGTCCTGTCCAACAAATCGAAGGCAGCCCTGATGTCAAGGAACACTACGATTGTTGGCCTTTGATAAGTATGACGGTGTTCTAACATTTGGCGGAGGGTGAAGATATGATCAATACATCCTCGACCAGAACGAAACCCAGCCTGCTCCTCGCGAGTCAATCTTTCTCGGGTTTTAAACAACCTACGAAGTATGACAGAAGCCAATAGCTTGGAGGCAATCGGAAGTAGACTTATCCCACGATAGTTGTTACAGAGACGACGTGAACCCTTTTTAAAGATAGGGACAACTATCAACTCATTCCATAACGTTGGTACACTCTCTAGTTCCCAAATCTTTGTAAACAACGTCGTCAGTTCCTTAGTCAGAAAGTCACCACCATCTTTAAAAAGAGCCGGAGGTAAGTCATCTGGGCCAGGTGATTTGTAGCGCTTGAAGAGTTGGAGTTCCTTGCGGACTTCCGCCTCATTTGGTGGATCAGTCGCCACCGGCCATGGAGGACAGGACAGTCTGACCGATGTTGCCGGAGCAGCAGGCCAGTTGAACTGCCCTTCGAAAAATTCTGCCCATCGTCCAAGACGTCGATGGATGTAAGTGATTGGCATCCCGTCACCCTCGTAGATTGTTTCGCTCACACCAGACTTCTTGCTGCCAGTGGCTTGGATGAGTTGGAAGAGCTTCCGGTAATTACCAGATGCAGCTGCTGCTTCCAACTCATTAGCGCGCTCCGACCACTAGGCTTCTCGGTCGTTACGCAAGCTTTGCCCAACTTCATTACGTAACATCCTTCGTTTGTGGTCAAACTCACGGTCACCCGGAGTAGACCGACGGGCTTCAATGAGTTGTAAGGAGCCTGAGGAAGGCCAGTGCTTATAAGCGGGACGTTTCGCGAACCCACAACTGACTGTACCCGCCATTTTGATGGGGTCATGCAATTGCAACCAATGCTCATCTATACTTTTCGGTGGAATGGTAGCTAGCCTAGAAACTAGCTCGGTTCGATACTTACTAGCAACAGAAGTTGCAACCAGCTTGCTTGCATCAATCCGTTGGTGGCGGTCACTTCGTTGTCCACTGAAAAGTAAGGTAAGATTGGCGCAGACCAAGGCATGGTCAGAGTCCAGATAGGTACTCCAAAAGGGGCTGCATTCTTGTACACAACCACGCCAGCGGTAGCTGATCGCGATGTGATCAATCTGAGTCCAGGCTTGGGATGCAGAGGGAGGACGCCAGGTGGCACATCGGCGATGACTGTGCCGAAAGTTAGTGCTAGCCAGAAACAGGTTGTGGTCTGTGCACAGTTGCAGTAGACGGTCCTCGTTAACTGACCTGCGACCAACGAGTCCCCATCGGCCGCCTAAACGACTCTCTTCTGTGCCTAGACGTCCGACCTGAGCATTCAAGTCTCCGGCTAGTACTACAATATCTGTCGAACGCACTTTCTGGAGAAGAACAGATAACTGGTGGTAAAACTCATCCTTGATTGCATCCGAACTGCAATCTGTCGGGGCATAGGCGGAGATGACGAAAAGACATCGTTTCTCTCGCCGATTTCTTCTCACTTTGATGGAACTTTCTAATCTAACAGAACATAATCGACTGTTAATGGGGATCCAATCGGTTAGTGCTGCCTCACCTCTAGCGCTTAGTGCGACACCAACGCCAGCAAGACCAGACGAAAATGCCACAGGGTCCCCGGATAAACGCACGTAAAACAAGCTTTTCGAAGCGACAGATGGAGAGCGAATTTGTAGTACTTCACCAGAGTCTTGAATACGAGTCTCGGATAGACAGCAAACATCGATATTAAGACTTTCTAAAGACATAGCCAGACCTATCTGTTGTCCAAACTGCATAGGTGTGCGAACGTTGAAGGCAGCCAGTTTGATTGGTGCACGTGGTTTCAGAAAAACTGCTTCAGTACTCATATTCAGTGGTAACATACAATTTTCAACCGGACAGTGACTCGAGAACGTTTAGATAGAGTCGAATTTCCAACAAAGACGAGCCGCTGTATAAGTATAAAAGAGGGTGAATAGTGTGGTAAATAATAATAGTAATAATAATCATTTGATTGTTAGTTGAAGCAAGTAAAGTAGTTTCCATAATTATGGGCAGTTCATCATATTTGTGTGTGGGCTGTGATACTGCCCGGGTGCCTAGACCGAAGCAGGTGGTTATCTTAGGGGGCCACACCCCGAGCCTTTGACCTAAAGGTCTGACCCACAAGGCAGTGGAGCATCGTAAGGAGATGCAGTCCCATGGTAGCCGGTGACCAACGATTGGTTCATACGCCGTTTGTTCCCGCAGGATACTGGAGCCAGCCCATGTGCACCATTGGTTCGGGATCCGGTTAAAGGACCGGACATTCGCTTTTCGTCCTCTCATTTTCGTAAACAACACCCCCGCCACGAGAAGGCAATGAGTAGGACTTCCTTGGCAGAGGCTGTATACGCGTGGCCGTGTGAGAGTATTTCGAGAGGGAGGGCGAGCCCACCCCACTCTCGGCCGTACCAGGGCATTTGGGGGCTTAGAGCGTTTGAATTATTATCATACCACAGTTTTATTTGCTGTTTGTTTCAAACTTAAATCATCGGCTTTATCAAATGAAATGTTTCTATTTATTTTCACAGGCGGAGATTGAAGCTACACATCGAGCGCTTTCTTTAGCTGATGCTGCTGGTTGTCCTCTATATATTCTACAAGTCACTAGTCCGAAAGCAGCAGATCAAATATCAGAAGCTCGTTGGAATGGAAATGTTGTTGTAGGTGAAACATTAGCCGCTGCACTGGGTGCTGATGGTACTCATTATAAGAATAGTTGCTGGCGTCATGCTGCGGGATATGTTCTGTCTCCTCCACTAAGAGTTAATCCGAATACTTCAGATAAGTTGGTGCGTTACGTCTCCACTGGGGTTCTAGAATGTACTGCTAGTGGCCATTGTGCTTTTAAAACTGAACAGAAAGCTTTGGGAAAGGACGATTTTCGAAAAATCCCTCCTGGAGTCAATGGAGTAGAAGATCGAATGTCAGTTGTTTGGGAGAAAGGAGTGGTAATTTGCTGCTATAATTTTATGGAAACCGCTATTAAATTTATCTTCATTTGTTAGATGTCTGGTTTTATAGACCCATGCAAGTTTGTTGCTGTGACTAGTACGAATGCCGCTAAAGTCTTTAATCTCTATCCACAAAAGGGAAGGATCGATGTTGGAAGTGATGCTGATTTGGTTATCTGGGATGGTGATGCAACTCGCACAATAACAGCAAAAAATAACCACGAAAATGTTGACTTCAACATATTTGAAGGTCTCCAGTGCCATGGCGTACCTGTAGTCGTGGTCGCTGCTGGTCGGGTTGTTCTGGAGGACGGAGAACTTAGAGTAACTCAGGGTGCAGGTCGTTTTGTACCGGCTTTACCGTTTTCACCGTATATTTTTGAGCGAACAAAAAGACTGGTGCTGGTTAGTTGTAAATGATTGTAATATATATTTAATTGTTATTAATGTTAGATGCCATCATTAGTATCTTTGGTGAATCCTATCTCATTATGGTTAGGGCTATGTGCAATTTGTTGAGTGGTATTTATGGTTTCGTATGCTGCACACTTTTACATAAGTTTCGGTCAGTTGGTCACAAATCACAGTAGTCCAAGGACATGATATGCCATGATTATGCAGGGCTATCAAATCAAGTGGTCTATCCATGTTGTGGTATTTTTTTCTGGTTGTAGCCATGACTACTCACTGAAAAAGCCAGTATTTTTTAAATTGTCTTGATATAAAATCCTTCGACTGTCATTGGTAAAATCTTTTCAACAAATGTTCCACATCATTAATTCTTATGCTCAAGTAGTTATTTGGTGTATGTAGTGGTTTGTTAACCAACAATTCTGAGCATTTCCTCATTATTATAAGGGTAATTTACTCACTACTATTTTGATAAAACTAAATTTTGTACTCATATGTGAAGCTGTGTATTCGTTTCTTATCATCATGAGAAGCTGATTTGAAAGAATATTTCTTCACTTAAGTCGTATCTTGAATGTCTGAATGAAAATATACAAGTTATTACATTACAACAATCTTTTATTAAGAAGTATTAATTCCATTGTTAAGAAAACCATACACCTTCGGTAATGTTTTAGAATGCAGCATACAGATGTCATATTAAAATGTCTCATGGATTCCTGATACATTATATCTTAGTTTCATCTTTAGTAGATCTACTGTTTTTGTCGGAATCACTTCCATTCAAAGAATTATCTTAACAAAAGACATCTGAATACATAAAGGCTGTGACTGAAAACCGAATATCCAAACATTTACGTCGTTATTAGGTCATAAAAAGATTTGGAAAGTCAATCTTCGCAATTAAGAACTTTCGTCTAAATTTGATCGAATAGTTTCACAGTGTTTGGGCTCCGAGTTAACGCAAGACATTAAAGAGGAAGAATGTACTTGTAAAATCTCAGCGAAAGAATCTGAAATAAATCCAACGTTTCGCTTGGCAATCTGGTCCAGGCTTTTTCAATAGCTTATTGTTGTCCCTTATAAGTTATCCACGGATTATCACGGGTTCCCGTCTCCGGCAGTAAGGCCGTTTGAAGAACAGAGCTAACTTCCCACAAAGGGGCCGTGCGTGACCGGCTTCAAGCAGTTGTCCCTTCGGCTCTGCGGTCATGCTTCCAGGTCGTTAAGACCAAAACTAATCCAACTTCCCTTTTAGGTTTCTCAAGAAATACCCTTCCGCGGTGTGGGCAGCCGGGAAGTGATATCAGCCCTCATACCCGTAACAGCACACGAGACCAAGTTGGTCACAATCGAATCCTACCTACACCTAATAACTCTCGTATCTCCACAACTAACCCTTCTCACGTTCCTTTATCACCTCGCACCGCTAATTCAAAAGATCTGAGTACGCGGAACGCTATTCCCCGTTCCCTGAAATCACGCTCTTCACTATATGGAGCTTTTAACGTCCGAACACTGTGCCAAATAGGACAACAGGCTTCCTTAGCTAAGACTTTAGAATCGATGTGCGCTGGGTCTCCGAAACGCAAATAAAGTAGCGTCATTCATTTGACCTTACCATATCAAAATAAAGAAATATCTTTATTCACTCTTCGTTTATCTGGAAGCCTTAATGCTGCTTCCCGTAGCCTCGTTGGTGTAGGTATAGCAGTGAGTCCTAGGGCAGAACTAGCTCTCTTAGACTGGATCCCAGTAGACCGTCGTTTATGCGCTCTCCGACTGAACGGAACAATAATGACTCGGAAAGATAGGGACACATCGTTGCCTCTTCATCGTTTCTTCCTTCTCTCCCGTTGACTGCAGCTCAGATTATGTAAAAGATGAGTTCTACAGAAAGCTTTGTGACCTCCTCCAAAAAGTTAGGCGCACTGAAGTAATAGTGGCTGGTGACTTTAATGCTCAAGTAGGTAAACTAAGCGACACCTGGGTGGATCTTATAGCATCGTAACTCAAAGAACAGATAATGGAGACTGTCTCTTACAGCTATGCTCAGATAATCGCCTGTTTCTTGCAAACATTAACTTTAAGCATAAGGAAAAACATCTTTTGACATGGCAACCCCCGAATTAGTCCCAACGTTGGACCCAAATAGATCACATCGCTATCAGCCACCGATGGAGGGGCTCGATAGAAGACTGTCGCTTGTTCTGTAGCACATGCTTAGATTCAGACCATGCTCAAGCGCGTATTTGTTTGTGTCTTACTGGACGTAGGAAAGACGCTGCAAGGAAACCTATTAGGGTTCTACTTAATGGTAGTCAAGCTAAGAATATATTTCAGGAACAATTAGAAAAACAGTTAGGCAGCCATGTAAGTGTTGCTTACCCCGGGGCAGCGTGGAATGACATCCGAAAAGCTGGATCTCAGCAGCATTTACCGCACTAATAGATGCTTGAAAACTCATTCCATATGGCTCTGAACATAACGAAGAGCGGAGTCAGCTTAAGCGCAAGCTGACAAGAAGCCTACGCAATGATCGTGAACAGTGGTGGGTAGCGAAAGCAAGAGAGATGGAAAAGGCAGAGGCAATAGGTAATAGCAGACAATTGTTCAGACTCGTTAAGGAAACCGGTACTAGGAACCCGACTGTCAGCGAAACACTCTCAGAGAATGATGGACATATTATACATTCTCAATCCAGGAGATTGGATCGATGGACAGAACACTTTAGGGATCAGTTCAACTGGCTTTCAGCCACACTTCGGTTTCTCACGATCTCCAGTCAACCTGAATGGCAAGTTAATTTAGGTCCTCCGACTCTTTACGAAGTTGGAAAAGCTACAGGAAATCTGAAGCGAGGGAGAGCAGCAGGCCCTGACAGGTTTACTCCTGAGATTTAGGGATGGTGGTCCAATATTAGCAGTGAGATTAACTGAGGTCTTAGGTAGAATTTGGGAACTGGACGCAATCCCATCTGACTGGTCTCAATCACTGATTGTGCCAGTTTATAAGAAAGGACAAAATCCTCTTGTGACAATCACAGAGGAATCAGTTTGACTAATATAGTGTCTAAAATATTAGCTTTAATAATACATCGATGCCTAACCAAAGCAGACTAGAGAAAACCAGGCTGGTTTCCGACCTGAACGTGGTTGTATAGATCAGATACTAGAACATAGACACACATTCAGATGCCACAAAATCGTAGTATTTCTCGACCTTAAGGCGGCATTCGACTCTGTTGATCGTAAGGTACTATGGCAGTGTTTGTCACTGAAAGGAGTACCAAAGAAGTACATTAACTTATAAAGGCTCTCTACTCGAACACAACTGGTAGAGTGAGAGCTTGTGGCGAACTGTCATCAGAATTGATTACCTCAAGTGGTGTTCGTCGGGGCTGTCCACTCTCTCCATTCTTGTTCAACTTTGTCGTCGAAGTACTTTTAGAGGTAACACTTTCCTCATCTAAATTTCCAGGGGTTGAACTTCTACCAGCAGATTCACTTGTTGACTTGGAATATGCCGATGACATAGTTCTATTTGGTGAAGATGCCGATAAAATGCAGAGTCTTCTGACCACTCTAAGCAACAATGCAAGCATGTTCGGGATGCGATTCTCGCCCTCGAAATGTAAAATGTTGCTTTAGGATTGGTTTGCTTCGACACCCAAACTAATGATAGGTAGTGAAGTAGTTGAGCATGTCGACCGCTGCAGTTATTCTGGGAGTCTCATCAACCCTTGTGGTCTGGTGTGTGACGAAGTCTCAGCACGGATATAGGAGGCTCGACTAGCTTTTGCCAACTTGCGTCATATATGGCGTAGGCGAGATATCCGTCTATCAACCAAAGGACGGGTTTACTGCGCAGCAGTTCGTTCCGTCCTACTTTATGGCAGTGAAACATGGCCGGTAAGAGTAGAGGATATCCGTAGGTTACTAGTATTTGACCATAGGTGTCTTCGAAATATTGCTCGTATATCCTGGGACCATCGAGTAAGTAACGCAGTTGTTAGGAAACTGGTACTAGGTAAGGATGGCAAACCAATTGATGAAGTGGTGAAACTTCATCAGTTGAGATGGCTGGGACACGTGTTACGTATGCCCAACGACCGACTGCCTCGACGTGCGATGTTCAGTGGTATAGGAATAGGTTGGAAGAAAGCTAGGGGCGGCCAGACCAAAACATGGCACAAGTCCATGAAGTCACTGACAAGTGGACTGAGCCATTTTGGTAGGTGTAGACTACCTGGTTGGGATCCGCGAGACGATAGCAACCGATGTTTAGAGACCATAAATGACATGGCTCAAAATTGTTTGCAATGGTGCAGGTGCATCTACTCTGTGTTCTCCCAAATTCTAATCTTCTGAATTCTTCATGTCCTTTTTTCTCTTTCCAAATTTATTTTACTGGATTATACTCCTTGAATAACACCTTCAAACTCTAATGTTTCCCATTACTACTTGAACTTTTACTGCCTCTACCACTGTGGGATTTTAATCGACAATTGTATCTTTGTGCTAATATGGTAAGGCAACTGGAACTGATGTACGTACGTATGAAGTTCTACGTTGTTGACTGACTATCCACTGATTATTTTTTACTAATATTTTCTCTAGATGCGTTCAGTCAAACCTATAATTCGTGATTCGTATACTGGTCCTGTGTCCACAGAATTCACTATTCCAATGAAAGATTCCATCGTCAATAATGGTACAGAAAAAGTCTCAGTGGGGTCTGATGCTGATGGCTTGCGCCCTCGTTCACCTACACGTTCGGGTGGTCGGAATATGCAGGAATCCAGTTTCTCTCTGAGTGGTAGGTTTATTTAGAAAACATTCCACTCATAGAATTATCCTTAAACGTTATTCGTTTCAGTTTTATAACAGGCAAGGAAGTGTAACATTTATGTTGAGCTATTCATGAAACAACTAAAAGTGATTAGGCTGATTGATGGAAGTAAAATTAAAATTTATAGTAATAATTACGAACGGTAAACTACTTGAGAAAGTAATATTTTAAGCGTCAGACGGCAAGTTCATGTCGTATTTGGGTATCTCCTTGGTCCAAAAGATTATGATCTAGAACATAGAGTCAGAGATTAGGAAATTCGCAGAATGAACAACTGCGATTCGCTGTTATCTTGATATTGTTCATTCGGGGTGTGAAATTTTATAAGCAGTAAACCGAATATGGTCCATAAATCATTGGGTTATTTGTTGATCTGATGAATAAACTGATCAAGTCCTATGCATATATCCGATTCTAAAAGCTACAATGTAGTCCCATATTAATATGACTCACACGTTAAGTGAATTAATGCTTGATGATTATACAAATCACTAAAATTAGAGTAAGGAACAGTCAAGTAGTTATCTAAAAGCCTGAATACAAAGCTCTTTAACGTGTAATATCGTTGTCACGCATACTATTACTTAGCCTGAAAAGTCTAGCATAAATCCAAATCCTTGACTTGATGGTCGAAATATCAAATACAAACCATCAAGTCACAAATAATTGTTGTAAAGCGTCAATTTATGTTAATACACTATGAAATGTGTGATCAGTCTATCTGCAAACCTTTGAAAAATTACTTGATTCAACTCTATCAATCATAATTTACCATTGTAACTGCAAGGTCCAGTTTGTGACTGACGCCATTGTGTCTAGTAGCACCTTCAAAGAATTAGTGTTATAGGCTGTAATAGTGGGATAGTGAAGTGCATGATGTGATGCTGTTGGCTGAGTTAAACAATTAAGAGCTAGAGATAGCCATGTGAACCGCGTTAGAAACAAGATTCAACTCAGGTTTGTAAAATTTCAATTTCAGTTGAACTAGTGAAATAGCCAAATAAAACCATTAGTCACATATTTAGTGGAATACTATATTACATGCACATATACGACGATTAGAAAGATTGCATTGTAATATCTCTAGTGTTATATATTTTCTAGTCTTTATGGATCAAGTATTGAGTATAAATTATATAGTAGTCTTACAGATGAGAACGTTTCACCATTGGTGATAACTTTGTTGCATGACGTAACAACTCTATTTTATTGTGTAAAACTAAATATAAACATAATTGTACAAAACTAATAGATAACATCTTCGAAAGGAGTTTCTTTGCTGAACCGTCTTCATTTTGTTTAAATAAATATTGGTTACATGGATAATACCATAATGTCAAGACGTTTGAACGGAGAAAATTTTCCTCGACGATTTCGTTTACTACGAACAATTATGTTGTGGTGTGTGCTACTAATGTCGACAGACACAAGTAGTATGTATCATCTATCAAAAGTGATGATTTTAGATTTGGTTGTCCCGCCTGGTGTACTCGTTTACTACAATGTAGCTAACTGAAATATCGAAACTACAAAGATTTAAGACCCATCTACTTTTAGCATACTCACGTTAATGTATGACTAACAAAATATATATGAAAGACTATTGAATAGAGAAAAAGTCTATTTATATTAACTTAAAACTTCAGGCACTAAAATTATAGTTTATTGTCAGTTGATTCAATAAGGAAAATACTCTTTTTTGCGTACATCTGCGACTGCGTATTTAAAGTTGGTGAGGTAACGTTCTGGCTACTTTATTGGTTTTTGGACTTTTCATTTCTTGTGAGGTGTTATATTCGACTTTTGACATCTTTTTAGGCGCTCAGTACGACGACAGTCGTCCGATTCGCACGGGGATTCGAACCAAACAACCTCCGGGTGGGGCGTCAAACGCCTTGTGGTAGATATTCATTAATGAGTCCTGTATATCAAAAGTTTGGAGCTCAACATCAGCGACACTACATAATCAACATGTATTTACTGAAATTAAGATACACCTGGTTCTTTATTATATGTGCTCACAGCCCAAGTTATATGTAGCTTCGTTGAAAAACTTGATCGTTATCCTAGTTATGGTTGTTTATCAATTCAAATATAATACGCTACTTCATAAAAATATTAATTACTAAAGATTTTCTTTTTTTTTCTCCGTGCACTGTTACGAATGTCTTGGTATGATCTGACAAGAAGATACATGCATCGGATTGCATTTACTGAGGCGTCCGTTTAAAATCTGAATAATGTGTTTATTTAGGTGGGTACCAGTCGTGCAACCTCACTCTTGCACGCAAACTAAACTACTTATTTTAAATTCCATCTTAAGACATAATAGGTGCTGACAAAACTATTGTTTATTGTAGACCTAATAAGTTTACAAGCTCCAATGTAAGTGGCGAATAATTTTGTAACTAATATTACAATGAAGCTTCCAAGCCTTGTTCTATACATTTGCGTTTCAAATGGGATTGCAGAAATATTGTCAATGCATATGATAACGTAGACACTTAAAAAGAACAATATATTGGAAATTTCAACCATTCAAAATATCATTATTGTACATAAAATCGGTGGTTCATGTCAGTATTCACATTGATCAGCTAATTAACGGGTAATTGTTCAACATTCATAATATGTATTTAGCGACTATTTTTTAAATGCCGCCATACGACCTTAAAATGCAAAAAGTTGTTTGGCAAAACAATTTCGCTGTCGCTTGTTGATAAGTTTCTCAACTAGATGAAGTAGTCGGAATTTGCAACGTTGAATTGAGACCAACTGAATTTCTTCTGGATTGTGGTGTATTCATTCGAAGGAATACTTCAACATTTGTTATGCAATTATATTCAGATCTACTAATACCTCTAGTTTTAATATCATCATGTTCCACAAGCTAGAAACGGAAAAAGAATACAATAATTTACGAACCATTATTTACGGTTTAGAGCCGTTGTCGGGGGTTAAAAAAAAATTGCCAATGTTATCTGCCAACAATTGGATTAGAACGTATTGAATATTTGATTCACTTCACCAGCCGAATTCAAAAAAACTTAATAGCTCTACATCGCTACAGATTCTGATCGTTCTAGTGGTTAAAATTCTCCAGTTTATTCACTAAGTGTAAACCGCCCTGGTTCTTTGCATTGACAAGGTGAAGTCAAGTGACTGACTGTGTTTGGATTGTGAATTTGCGTTTCGGAGACGTAGTATAAATGGTTGGTGCGAGATTCGAGAGTGTTGACTAAGGAAGCGTGACATCGTATCTGACACAATGTTCGAACATTGAAAGCCAGTATATGGTTTGACGCGTGCTGATAGAGATGTATGAGGAGCATTCGTTGTGGGGGTAGGAGGACTAATAAGAGAGAGAGAGAGGATTTATGGTACCTTCAAAAGGTATCACTGCCACCGTGACTTTTCCCGGTTGCGCATACCGTGGAAAGTGTGAGTAATCCTGATGAAGTTGTAATCCTCTCCGATTAGGGCGAGCATGCGTCACTACTTGAAGGTAGGATCGGGTTTAAATGGTAGAACTGTTACAGAAAAGGTCACAGACTATTGATCTGGAGTCGTAAGCGTATACTCCGTCGATAAAAGTAATTGAAGTATAAAAGTAGAGATGACTTGGGAAGTCGATAATTGTAGACGTACAACCTTTGTTTTCTAAATTCCGAATACATAACTTATCAATTATTTAATTCCGCGAACTTGTGTTTGTTTAGTTTAGTTTTTCTACTACTTTTGTTTATTTCTTCTATATATGCTGTTATAAAGTATCGTAACTTAGATACTTTTGAATGCGGTTTTCCATTGAACACATGTCTATGTTCATATGAATTATTTCATTTTCTCATGTGTACAACTTTCTAATAAATATAATACTAATTAATTAGTAATGTGATTTATATGAGTACAAACTGGTCACCGAAATGAATCTACTGCTTTTGTATATACTCATAAATAGTAGATACAGAACAGAACATTTTGAGTCAATAAAATTATGAAAATCCTATATTGCGTTGATAGATCGTTAAGAAGTGCTTTCCAGTTTTCCGTTATAAAAAAGGCGAATCATATAGAAATAACAATTTAACATTGTACACCCCTTTGAATATTGAAAAATATCATTATGTACAGAAAATAGAATAGAACTTACAGATTCATATGACGGTCTTATTGGATAAACATCAGGTTGAATAATAAGATTTGAAGCTATAAGATTTAACGGTTCAGAGTGAACATCGGTACTCTGCTCTCCATCAGAATGATCTAACTCCATATGGTGTACATCCATTACAGCAGCTATCATGAAAAAATGAGATAAACGTCAAACTATATAAGGAAGTTTAAAAACACCGGAGAACTGATATCAAACTTTCAAATATCTAGTTTATAAAGAACTAAGGTCTTAAGAAAACGCATAGAATACTGCTTGTGAGCATAAAGTTGGTGAGTAGTCTTTGAGAAAATTGAGGTATCTTATGAAAGACATACTCTAAGTATATCCCGATAACACGTCTGAAAATTCCCTTTTCGAATTTTGTCATCTTCAAGAAAATATCATTAGAAATAGGATGAGCCAGTCAGCTACAACGTAGGACCAGGCACATATGTGCATCGGTCCAAGATGCCACAACTCAATAGCACATGATGAACACCGGATTCATAATGTAGCTAATTCAATGGTGGTAATATATAAAAGGATTGTATATGAGGATATAGTACAGGAAAGAAGAATTAGTTCATAGAAAGAAAGGTATAAAGTAATTTTAATCTCATAGTTTAAGGGAAGATAAAGGGCGAATACATCTACACCATTATGATGAATTCTAAGCCATGTCACCCAGTCTCTAGCCATTGTTTACGATAGTCACGCGGACCCCAACCAAGTAGTCTGCATCTAACAACATGCCTCAGACTAGAAGTTGGTGACTTCAAGCACTGGTGCCACGTTTTGGTTTGGCCGCCCCTAACTTTCTTCCAACCATTTCGGACACCAGACAGCATTGCGCGTCGTGATAATCAGTGTTCAGGCCTAAGAAACACGTGGCCCAACCATCTCAGTCGATGAAGATTCACAACCTCATCAACTGATTTACTATCATTCCCTAATATCCTGCGTCTAACCTCACCATAACTTACCCGATGATCCCAGCAGATGCGAGCAATATTTCCAAGATATGCGTCGTCAAAAACTAGTAGCCTATGAGTATCTTCTACTCTTAATGGCCACGTTTCACAGCCGTAAAGTAGAACACAACGAACTGCCGCGCAGAAACTGGAATTAATAAGTCAAATGTGAGAAAGACGACACTCTTATCAGCCGAGACGTTTAGAACGATGGATGGAACAGTTTAGCTGGCCTACAGCTACTCTACATCTACCCACCATTCCCAGACAGCGTGAATGGAATATTGAAGTAGGTCCCCCAACTCTGTCTGAAGTTTAAAAGGTATTGTGAATCGCGAGTTGGCTACTCTAAATTCTACCGATTGACAAGCTTCAGATATCCCAGTTCGACCCCAATACTGTTCCCAATCTCCAATATATCAGAACACGAACCGTAGATGAAAAATCGTTTATGGGGTCAGGAGCAGCAGAATAATGATTTACAAACAAATGCATATTTATACAGTTAGGATTACTATAAATATTGACCAACAGAAAGATGACACGTTAAATAATATTGACCAATAGGAAAATGACACGCGAAATAAATATTGATCAGTAGGGAAACGACCAGTAGGGAAATGACACCATTTAACGTTCAAGGGTAGAGTTAGACTTAACCGGATAATTGTTGTTGGGATATTTTTCTGAGTATCCCAAAAAAGGTTATAGCTATTCTGAAACGAGAAAGAGCAGCTGGTCCAGATGGAATAGCTCCAGAGGTCTTTAGGGACGGTGGTCCAATTTATCGATTAGGTTGACTAATTTTTTAGCTAAAATCTGGGAGTTGAAATAAAAGACTATTGTATTCATACCTCTAACAGCACTCAAGGAATAGGATGAAGAAAATAGGGAGTTAATATTTCACAAATGATTTATAAATAAAATTAAAAACAGCGGGATGATTCAGCAATTCCTTATAGGTAGACGAGCATAACATGAAACGAGCGGGAAATATCTGTGATGACGCTTTTAGAAAGATGAATTACTTTTCAGAAAATTATTACCATAAATAGTAGTAAGATTCAACGCTCAAGTAACCAATAAAAAATATTATAGCTTAATTAACTTTCTGTATAAATACATCAACCGTGCACCGAAAGATTACCCATTCAATTTGCAAACTGTAAACTATTAAACACCAAACAAAGATTTTACTTCACGGTAAGTTTTACATTGTCACAGACTGCTAGGTTTGAAGCTATTACGAGTTTACTAAGTATGCGAACGGAACAAAGACTTGTGAACGTAGACCAATAAGCTAGCTATTTGATGCGTCCGAGCCCCGCTAACTAGAGGAAGAAGTCCAAGCCTGGAACGGGAAAGTATATTACGTAGACCAGAAGCACGAGTGGATAGTAACAGACACAAATCAAACGTATATATACAGCATAAAACTATCCTTGGGAAGCGTTGCAAAAATACCATACTAAAAATACATAACGGACCAATAGCGTTAAACAGACAACACAAAAATCATGGAATGTCTCAAAACTTGCTGAAATTAGTGACAGTTTATATTGGTCTATTAACGTTGGAGAAGAGGGAATGTAATATACACTGAGGAATCTTTTTGAATCTATAAGTACTTTGAAAACTTTGCCGAGGTCAATAATACCCTACGAGGAAATATTATGATTTAAAATGAAATTGGTTTTATTTTATTGTTGTCAATAATAAAGTAGGCATTTCTGAGGAAGGGATAATTCCAATCTTTCTTTGGACTCAGATACATACG